CGCGCCACTGCACTCCAGCCTGGGTGACTGAGCAAGACTCCGTCTCAAAAAAAAAAAAAAAAAGAAAAAAAGAAATACCATCCTCATTCAAGCTCCACCACCCTCCATGGCTCCCTAGTGCCCACAGGATGATGTCCGTGCTCCTCAGCCTAGCTTGCCTCAATTTACCTTCTGAATATGGATCCTACCTTCCAGCGGGTTCTTTGCTTTCTACGAATACACCTTGGGTGTTCCCTCTGCTGAGGTTTTGCCATGCCAGCCTCCCGGATTGCCTTCACTGCTCTACCTCCCAAGCCCTACTCCTGAAGCTTTCAGCCTGTCCCCAGGATTCATCCTAAAATTCCCTTCCTGTGTCAAGAGCATTCTGGGTCAAACCCCTGGTGCTGGGAACCATTGCCTGGGGAGGAAGCAGAGTTTGTGTTCCCCCACCTTTCAAGAGGAAATGGGGACCAGAAAGGGGTGGGCTGCTGACTGAGGCTGTGGACACGCAAAGAGGGAGGTGGGGCCTCTGCAGACATCAGGGAAGGGGTGGAGGATCCAATGGGGTTGCTTCTAGATGCAGGGCAGGGACCTAGCCCAAGAGAGACCAGATTTCCCGAAGCCTTGTCCTTACCAAGAATGTTTCCTGTAAGGAACACCAGGATGCTCATGGCGAAGGAACCCAGCCAGTACAGTCCAAAGTTCCGGTATCTCTTCCTGGGCAGGGGATGGAGGGGTGACCAGCAGGTAGTCACTCCATAATCTCAGAGCCCCAGCCAGGGCCCAGAGACCACCGTGGGTTTCCCAGCTCTGGGTGCCTTTCAGTTTTGCCCAGGATGGAAGGGACAACAGGGAGTTGAACAGGGGAATGAACAGTGAGACCCTCTGTCCAAGAAAAGAAGTGACTGCCCAGACACAGGGTGGATATAAGCAATGCCACGCCACCATCTACACCTGAAACGTTTTCTGGAACCTTCTCCCGGCCACCCCTGGCTGGAGTCCTAGAGGAGCATCCTGATTTCTCCTACAGACACTTCTGGCTCCACCCTGCCCTGGGGCCCCATCTGAGGATGAAACTTCTCTCCCAGGGTCAGGGGCCACCCTCTCCCTGGCTCCTGCACCTTCTGCAGATGGCGCCGGCCATGGCCAGGTAGAGGAGGTAGTGAACGGTGCCATCCCAGTAGCAAATGAAGACTCCGTGTGCTGTGCGCAGGTATGGCTCTCCCTGTGGGGACAGGAGGGAGGCTCAGACGGGCAGTGGGGCAGTGGGATCCCTGGCCGTCCCCCAAGTACCTCCTTGGTGTAGAAATCCATGAAGCCCACCACATAGCCGTCTTCCTGAAGAGCGATGATGAGGTCCACAACCGAGGTGAAGGCGAAGACGGCGAAGACTGCAGTGAGTAGGCGGCCGGGTCAGGTGTGGGAGGGGACACACATGGGTGGGGCTAGGGCTCAGTGTGGGCAGGGCTTGAAGTTAAGGTCAGGGATGAGATTACTTCAGGCAAGGACTCCAGGCCCAGTCCCTGTCCCAACCCCAAAGGTTGCATGACCACTGTCCCGCCTCATTCTGCATGTCTGATGGAGGAGACCCAGCCTGGCCCTCAGAAGTCCCTGGTTTGATTGGGAGGCCCAGTGCCTGCCTTTGGGAGTCCCCGCCCTCAGGAGATCTCAAAGTGATGAGGCAGTACACTCTTTTTCAGGAGCTTCCAATCTGATGGGGGAGACGCAGTCCCTATTCTCAGGAGCCCCAGGTCTCAAGGGGGAGGCTCTTTGAAGTTCCCCAGTTTAATGGGAGTGTTCAGATCTCTTTGAGGTCTCCAGTCTGATGGGAGCTCTTAAAGGGCCCCCAGTCTGATGGAGGAGGACCTTCAATGGCCCCTAAGTCTGAGGGTGGAGGCCCTTGCCTGGGCAGTCTTCTTCCCCACAGCTTCCCACTGACTCACCAGCATAGAGTGGGTCATAGGAGATTTCGCCATGGGACAAGCTGTAGACTGCCACGAAGAGCAGACCCAGGATTAGGGCGCTCATCAATGCCACCCACAGGGGGCTGTGGAGAGGGAGACCAAGTCAGGGACGCCAGGCCCAGTGCTGAGGCATTGCCCCACTCTCCCTGGTAGGGGAAGGGGCAGACTCCTGGAAGCCCCAGGGGAAGAGGCTAAAGTGTCTGTTCATCCATCAATGCTGTTCCCTGAAACTGCTCTCATCCTGTGCCAGGCCCTTGCCCAGGCTGTTTCTTCCTTCTGGAAACTGCTTCCAGAAGCCTTTTCCACTTGGCAAACTCCTACTCACCCTTCACGGCCCATCCACATTGTTCTTCCTCCATGAAGCCCTCCCTGACTCCCCAGAAAGGATCACTGTTTAACTTGAGCCAGCTACAGAGGGGACATTCATCAGCCCCTTCTTTTCTTTATTTCTTTTTTTTTTTTTTTTTTGAGATGGAGCTCTGACACGCAGGCTGGAGTGAAGTGGTGTGATCTCAGCTCACTGCAACCTCTGCCTCCTGGGTTCAAGCGATTCTCCTGCCTCAGCCTCCCAAGTAGCTGGGATTACTGGTGTCCACTACCACGCCCTGCTAATTTTTGTATTTTTAGTAGAGACAGGGTTTTACCATGTTGGCCAGGCTGGTCTCAAACTCCTGACCTCAGGTGATTTGCCCATCTCGGCCTCCCAAAATGCTAGGATTACAGGCATGAGCCACCATGCCTGGTCTGCCGCTTCTGACTTTACCATTTATTCCATCATTTGTTATGTGTTTAACTCAGTCTGTTCAGTGATTCGGCAACGTCAAGTCCCTCTGTGGCCAGGCCCAGCTCCCAAGCCACAGGGTCTCGAGTGCTCAGTTCTGTAGACTTCACTGTCTGACACTCCCAGCTCCTCCCAGCTAAAGTCCAAATGCCTCTATTAACTCCACCTTACCCCTGCCCTGATCTGCGCCCCCAACCTGATAAGACAGGTCGACCAGTTGCATAGATAACAGAAGCCAGGTCTCTGGGCAGCGCTCAACCCAGGTGGGCAAATCCAGGCCTAGAGAGAATGGGATTACTGTCCAGTTGTCCAGGGTCACACAGCAAGACTCTGTCCATCACTCTCCAGGCCCCTGTTTTCTCACGATCCCCTCAGAACCCAAGATCTCCATCCTGACCCCATCTAACGATGACATTATAGTACTCAGATGAGACCAGGACAAATCTTTGTACACAGTTTGTAATTCTGAACCGTAACTATGACATGAGATCTAGGATTGTGCCCATGACACTAATCACGGAACTGAGGCTTACCCAGGATCCCAGGAGATGGAGATGGGTATTCCCACCCAGGGAGCAGGCCCATGGTTAAGACTCTCTCCACCCTATGGCTTGGGTTGAGCTGGGTTTAGAAGTGCGAGGGCCTTGCAGATGCCCGCTATCCGGTGGCTGGACCCACAGGGCTAGGATCTAGGGTTAGGAGACAGGGACCAGGAACAGGAACCAGTAGGGGAAACTGAGTCTAGGCACAGGGTTAGCCAGCCTTGAACAAGAGGAAAGTCACAGGCCTGAGACAGGCAACGGAGCAGGGTGTGTGTGTGTGTGTGTGTGTGT